TAAGACCTTCGTTCATCTTCGGAACACAAATTAAGATGTTTTTGATAAAATCCGAGAGCTCTCTGACCCTCCCATAGACAGCAATGTAATTACCACGATCAAGGCCCAGAAATATAGCAAGGAGATCTGTAAAATAAACCATGTGACATCAGGGGTTCAACCGTAATTTACGAAGCTACGAGAATACTTTTTGTGTGCAAAAGAAAAAAAGAAAAAAAACCCGACTTTATTCAACAATTCGTCTCCGCGTCACCCTGTAGCGCCATTTTGGAGAATATCCACTGAACGTAAACAGCGTATGCTGTTTTGTGTCAGCTGTGCCACGCGGATGTTTTCGTTCAAATCAAAGCGTAAACGACGTAAACAGCGTATCCGTGTGGCGCAGCTGACACAAAACCGCATATGCTGGGGTGATGCGGAGGAGACGAATTGTTGAATAAAGTCTTTTTTTTTTTTTTTGCGCACAAAAAGTATTATCGTAGCTTCGTAAATTACGGTTGAACCACTGATGTCACATGGATTATTTTACCGATCTCCTTGCTACATTTCTGGACCTTGATCGTGGTAGTACCCTATGCAGGGTCAGACAGCTCTCAGATTCCATCAAAAATATCTTAATTTGTGTTGCGAAGATGAACGAAGGTCTTACGGGTTTAGAATGACATGAGGGTAAGTAAATAATTACAGAATTTTCATTTTTGGGTGAACTATCCCTTTAACACGGTTGCCGCGGGTTGTTTTTCATGTCCGCAGGTTGAAGCGACCCCAATAACATGATATTTAGCCCCTGGAATGCGAATTTTACCAGGGTAACCCTGCCAAAAAACGTGTATTTTATGTGTATTTTACCCCCCGCAACACGATTGGGCTAGTTTTGAGTAGCAATTGGGCAGGTTTTGTTGTGAAAACCTGGCAACCCTGGGCATCAGGCTATCGTAATGTTCAGACCGACCATTTTGATTGGACAAACATTTTATGGTCTTATGCCTTCCACAGATGATATAAATACATATAAATACATTTAGACCACTTAACTTATTGGGATGTAAAGAGACTTTCAACCAGCATAACAATGTTTTTGAACCAAATCACCTACCCTGCCTTTAAGAAATTTCTTATTACGTTGAAAAGGGTTTTTGCTGCATAATATTTTTGTGGAAATTGTGATGCACAAAGTTTTTTTTTACATCAATGCCACATTAAATTGATCAAAGGTGACATTAACAACATTTATAATGTTACAAAAAAATGTATATTTCAAATGAATGCTTTCACTGAACTTTCTATTCATCAAAGAATCCTGGAAAAAATATACCACAGTTTTTACAAAGCAGCAAAACCATTTTCAAAATTGATTATAATACCATTAATAATAAGTGAGCAGCAATAATAATTAATAATTGAGTAACAGATCAACATATTAGAATGATTTCTGTAGGATCATGTGACACTGAAGACTGGAGTAATGAAGCTGAAAATTCAGCTTTCTGCATCACAGAAATAAATTACATTTTAATATATCTTCAAATAAGAAACACAACATCACAAGATTACAGTTTTTACTATATTTTTGATCAAATAAATGCAGGTTTGGTGATCAAAAAAAAAAAAAAAAATCGCAACTATTTCAGACTTTCGACCGGTAGTGTATAAAGAAGACCTACATCCATTATAGTGACGGCAATATCCTTTATCTTGTGAGGTTCCACATAGGAGTTTTGGCAGTTCAGCGTGAGTCGAGAGGCCAGTTCACTCTGGTTCAGGCTTTCCAGCTGAAGCACAAACAAACAGAGCGCGCTTTGTTGATAAATGAGCAAAGAGTGAGTTTACCTTCACAAATTACCTTCACACATCAGTATGAGATCTATTACTAACTACATCAATCCAGAAGAAGCACTAAATGTGGTTTGATTTATGTGCAGTTTTCACTTTTCACATAACTATTTCAGTACAATGAAAGTTTGCATATTTACACATTTCATGTGCATATTAAATGTCCTTAAGGCAACAAACCGATTTCGAGAAATGCTCTGAATGTATGATTTGTAATCATTTTTTTGTGACATTTTACTAGAGGAAGGCCAAATATTGTAGCATTACATTAATTATATCATCATCACTGTAAACAGTCAGTAGTACAGTAGAAATACTCACTCTGTCAACCATAAAGTCAATTGCATCTGCCATTTTTGGGTCCACAGGTCCTTTGGCAAAGTTACCAAGCACTATCTTTTTGAGCATGAAAGCAGGCATCAACCAGAAACTAGAAAAGAAACATTATACATGAGACAAATGCACAATGATGGAGACGTTACCACTGTAAAAGTATCCGGTATAACCTGTTTGCTGTCCAAGTCTGGTTGAAGATCGATGTGTCGCTAAATGAGTTGCACAGGATCAGAGAATGAACTCTGGGAGATTTATGCGTGACTTCAGCAAATTTCTGAGCCAGGAATCCTCCCAGAGAGGCACCAAACAAATGCACCTGTGCAGACAGAGAACAAAAAACAGGTTGTGAAAGAGACCCATTTCTCGTCTTGTATATATAAAACAATCAATACACCGTACCTTGTCCAGTTGTAAGTGGTCTAAAAGCTTCCTAAATCCATCACAAAATTCCAGCAGATCCCAATAGACAGGATACTGGAGCTGGATACGGCAATATCAAGTTGCACAGCATGGAATAAATCAGAAAAAAAAGCAATAATGTCAGAAGAGAAGCAAAAGGACATGTTAGTTATCCAAAATGCCATTTTTGAAATGGAAAGCAACTGAATAAAGCTTTCAATTGTTAACAGCTATCTATTCCAGCAGGACTATCTGTAGTTGATGTGAAAACATACGGAGATGACGCGGTAGCCCCATCCGGAGAGAGCCAGCACCTGCTGGAAGAAAACCTCTGCCGTGCCGCTCACAGGCGGGAGGAAGATGATGGGGCACCTGATGCTTTTCGGCCCAGCATCATACAACGACCAGACTTTACTGTCATCATCATCCACGATTATCTACAGAAGATGCACAGGCAAGACGTCTGACAAATGTGCAACATCAGCCTCATAATATACATATATTATTCTAATTTACATTTATGGAAGTTCTATTTCATTTAATTTTAACTATACTTTTTTTTAATGACAATTAACAATGTCAAATGACAATTATGCATTGTTTTCTATCACAAATGAACTGAAGATAGATAGATAGATAGATAGATAGATCACACTTTATTTTAAGGTCCAATTCTAGCTATTAACAAACCATTAACTACGACTTTTGCCTCAAACTCCTAATTTGCTGATTATTAATAGTTAATAAGGTAGTTGTTAAATGTAGGTATTGGGTAGGATATGGTCCTGCAGAATATAAGAATAAACAGCCAATATGTAAATAATATACAGCCAATATAATAAACAGCCAATAAGCAAATAACAGGCATGCTAATAAGCAACAAGTTAATAGTGAAAATTGGTCCCTATATTAAATTGTTACCGATAGAAAGATAAATGAACTTACTCTTTTCAGAGGCACGGTGCTTCTGAACCAGTTATAGTCAGGAGATACTCTTATCTCCTCCATTGCTTAAAAGCAAATGAAAGATGAGGTTAAATACGTGTATGTTTCACAGAATAACTGACACGATCGACTCAAAGCTTGCAATTTAGATGAAAAGAAAAGGTACTGTGTCATTGATTTTATACCTCTTTCATGTAACGTTACAGTATTTCACCATAGAAAAATATGTGACTAGAGTACAAAATGATCTCGTGAGTAAATGCGACAGGCGAACGCACATACACAGTTCCTGCAGTTACATCAAATTATAAATCGACGGTTTCTCCTAAATAATCAATAAATAAAAAACGGACATAAAATTTTTTAGATGCTCAAAAACACAACATCTGCCTCTACAAAACTGGCGTTTGTTTACGCTTCATAACATCGTACATCAGGAGACTATTTCGAGCGATAGATGAGTAAATATTACCGTGCTGATTTGTGAAATAAATCACTTTTTATTGACTTTCATCCACAGATTTGAAAAACATTGGAGCCATTCGCTGAATCACATGACCGCAACTTCCGCAGCCAACAAACGATTGATGGCACACGATCACATCAGCCAATCAGCACCCGTGAACGGGTGCAACGGGGCGCTTTTAAAGGAACAGTTCACCCAAAAAAACAAAACGAACAAAAAAAAAACATTTCAAAAGACTCACACTCATGTTGTTCCAAACCCGTAAGACTTTCTGTCTTATACATTTTTTTTTAATTTTATACATTTTTTTGTTTTGCATCTTTAGTAATTTTGTTTAATGAAAATCATTCATATGCTTTTATTTCTTTTATTTGTTAATTTGAAAAACATTGGAGCCATTCGCTGAATCACATGACCGCAACTTCCGCAGCCAACAAACGATTGATGGCACACGATCACATCAGCCAATCAGCACCCGCGAACGGGTGCAACGGGGCGCTTTTAAAGGAACAGTTCACCCAAAAAACAAAACGAACAAAAAAAAAAAAATTTCAAAAGACTCACACTCACGTTGTTCCAAACCCGTAAGACTTTCTGTCTTATACATTTTTTTTTCATTTTATACATTTTTTTGTTTTGCATCTTTAGTAATTTTGTTTAATGAAAATCATTCATATGCTTTTATTTACTTAGTTAGTTATACTATAGTTATACGTAAGTATAACTATAAGTATAGTTATACTTTTCTCTGTACACTCTGTACAGTTTCATGACAGTGTGTAGTGATACAAGTGAGTAGTTGTTGTACTGTAGTTGTGGTGATGGACTTTTTGTTTCTGTTTGCTCATTGTTAAAGACTGATTCACTGGCTCACTGGCTTTAGTGATTTATTGATTAATTTGATTCACTACTAAATTAATTCAGTGACGCAAGTGATTCATTGACTGAGCGATTCACTGACCCTAATGATTCTTTGAATCTTTGAAGATTGATTCACTGACTCAGATGATTCTCGGTCAGAATGATTCAGTGACTCAAAAGTGTCATCAGTTGTTTACTCGTTTCAGTGTCTTGCCTGAGACAGCAGTGTGGGTTTAGTTCAGCTGCCTACAGCAGTTCCCAAAATAACGTATTTCGTTTATTAATGTGATTGATTATTATTTAATTCGCAGATTGAGGTTAAGTCATTTATTATTGTCGGGCCTGTATTGAATGGCTTTCAGTGCGTTAACGTTAGCTCTCAGCTAGCGCTAAGCTTCCAGCGCTTCTCAAATTCAACAGATTCAGTTCGTCAAAAAAACAACAACACTCAAACATGTCGTGTACGTGTGCTTCAGCAGCGAGAAATCTCATAAATTCAGCTCATAAAGGTAAGAAGAAAGTCATCTTTTGAAAAATATTGATGTTCGTTTGTTTCTTAGCCTAGTTAGTTGGCTAGCGCTGCTGCTAGTGCGCTAACGACAATATATAAACAAACCATGATGTACGATTATAAAAAAAAAAATTACAAATCGGCTTTAATTTTGAAAAATTTATTTTTAAATGCTTCATAAAGAAACATTTTTAATAACACTGGACATTTGTCGTCTACTTCTACTGCAGTACATATACGAATTGTTTATATAATAAGATTATTTATTAAAATGACAACCTACGACTCTAATGAATTTATTTAGTTGTTTATTGAATGCCGTTAGTTAGTTTGGCCTGGTGATTATTTAAAATTTATTTCACGATTCATAATATGAAAATTAAATGACTTGGTTTGTCAAGACGCATGTAGTCTGATTAGAAACATTATTTATCTTATGGTTAGGATTTGTGTTCCAGTAAAGTGTGATTTTTGTTGCCAATGTCCTGTAGAGGCTCTTCAAACAATATGACTTCATACCATTATTGTTATTGTTATTTTGAGTGATGTTTGTGTTGTTTATGACACAGGAATATCCGGCTCCAGAATCCAGTTACTGTCACTGAGCCGCCGGGGGACTCTTGAGGTTCGTCTGGGGCGCCGCGTCCCCGTGAGGTCGTTCTCCGAGACGACTGTGTATTATGCTTCAAAAGATGGGATGAAAGATGGAGATGGTGGAAAGGTAAGATGACAAATAACTCCTTATTCTCTGACAACAAGGGCCTGAGAAGGAAGTAATAACTTTGCCAGTGTAATTCATTCTCTTCCTGGAAATTGTGTTTTTTTTTTTTTTTTACTTTGTTTTCCTTTAAAGAAATCAGTTGGTGAAGGAAGTGGAAAAAGAAGCAGCTCTAGTAATTCCGGCAAAGGAGGAAGTCAGCTGAGATGCCCCAAATGTGGAGATCCTTGCACACATGTGGAAACATTTGTTTGTGAGTACTTAATTTCATATAATATTTTAGTTTCATTTTTTATTTTATTATCATTGCATTTTTTAAATTTTATTTTATTTCATTTATTTTATTCATTTTTCATATAAATATCTGTCTGCTCTGTGTATTACTGGATTTCTCAAGGTGATCATATTTTTTTGTACTACTGACCAAAGAGTTACGGTTTCTTTTGGCCTTGTGCATGTTTAAGTAGGCCAGAGTGTTCACTGAACTAACTGTTCAATGCTAAAAATAAATCATACACAACAATTTGCTTTTTCAACTGCTGGTGCTTTAATTAGTAACATGGTTTAAAAGTTGCCTAGTTAAAAGTAAAGATTGGGATTGATTTAAATTGCAACTTTATTTTTTTTCTTTCCTACTTTAATTTGAATGTAATTGTTTCAAGACTTTCTTTCAAATATTCCGGTTCGCAGGCTTGTTTGTAGTTGTTTGAAATAATAATAATAATAATAATAATAATAGGGAATGCAATATGCATAGGTATGTAATAGCAGAGTTCTAATTTCACAGTTGTACTGTAAAATAGAAAAAGACTATTAAAATTTAAACAAAACATTACTGCTGTAGTATTTCACTGTGAAATAATTTGTATTCAAAAATTTAATAATAATTTTATTTAACTGAAATTACAGTTTTAATATAAGATGGTTTGTGCATGTTGCATTCCCAAATAAACATTATAAGCATCCTAAACTCGGAACGGATGCAGAGATGAGTTAATGTAGATTTTAAGACACTGAAAACACTGGATCATGAGCTGCTTGAGTTGCCACGGTTCAATCTAAAACATGTAACCCATATTTGAATTAAATTGCAGCCTTTGAGATTTGATAATCTCACTACGCAATGTCTTGATTATGGTTTTAATTCAATCAATCATACAGTTCTTAAAAAACAACACTGAGGAATGTTATTTCTCTTTTGCAGCATCAACTCGCTTTGTGAAATGTGAAAAATGCCACCACTTTTTTGTGGTGCTTTCAGAAACTGACACTAAGAAAAGTTTAAGTAAAGACCCAGAGTCTGCAGCGGAAGCGGTCAAGTTGGCTTTCCAGCAGAAACCCCCTCCGCCACCTAAAAAGGTAAATATTCTTTTAACTTTGAGATTTTAAAGCAGTGGAACGCCCAAGGTTAACTGGTGGTTCCCACCTTTGCGTGTAATGTCTCTGTTTTTGTTTTCTCGCAGATCTATGCTTATCTTGATAAGTATGTTGTGGGTCAGGATCATGCTAAGAAGGTTCTGTCGGTGGCCGTGTACAATCATTATAAACGCATCTACAACAACATGCCGGCAGGCTCCAGGCAGCAGCAGGTGGAGGTGGAGAAACAGGCCTCCCTCACTCCTCGAGGTTTGTACTGCAGAGCGTGTGTATGTGTGTTGAATACACATAGAAGGTAGGAACAGGTGGTTTTCACTAAATGGTTCTTATGTAAGAGACTCATAGCCATTAGGGAATTAATCTGTTCCAGGATACAAATTATACTTGGTGTCCTCAGAAAGCCAGGTTTCACTCCATCAGTTGAAAGCACAAAATGGAGAAGTGACTCTTTGGTAAAACACACAGGTTTTTTGCTTCGAAGATTAAAATGAAAATGAATCCAGCTTTTTAAAAAAACATTAAAGGTTCATTGAAGTTTGTTCAAATCCCTAAACCTAAATATGAGAATGATATCATATCCCACTTTTAAAAGAATAATTCACACAAAAATGAAAATTTGCTGTAAATTAACAAGATGTAGATGAGTTTTTTTTTTCTTTATCAGAACAGATTTGGAGAAATTTAGCATTTCATCATTTGCTCACCAGTGGATCCTCTGCAGTGAATGGGTGCCGTCAGAATGAGAGTCCAAACAGTTGATAAAAACATCTAGTGGTTCAACGGATCACAAATCTCACGGTTCAGATCATATTATGGTTTTTGAGCCACGGGTCGAGTCGTTTTTCAGATCAACAAGAAAAGAAAAAATATTTCAATGTAACTTTGATTTCCATTTAGTACTTAAATATAGTAATTATATAATAATAATAATTTAGTACAGAAATGTAATAATTAAGTGTAAAATAACACTGAATAGTGTTCACTTATAAATTAAATACAGATTAATCCTTGTCAAAGCTTTTTTTGTTGTTTGATGAGCTTTAATAACAGCAGCTGGTATTTATAGGCTGCTGTCCCTTTAAGACCTGGGGCCTCATGTATAAAACTTGTAAGTAGATTTCATCCTAAAAGTGTACGTACGCACAAAAGCTAGATTTTGCGTACGCACAAAAGTTTTCAGATACGCCAGAACCTGCACAAAAATCCCTTTATAAATTCCAGTCAGGGGAAGATTGTGCGTACGTGCATTTCCACTCCGTCTCCTCCCCGAAATAACAATATATGGAGCTTACAACGCTTAGTTTTACGATGCATAACCTCATCTGCATATCATTTCCATGCATATTCCTATCCACGCGACACCATGTTTAACACCGTCAAAGGTACAGGACGTTAAGGAATTATGAGATACGGACTATAAATGCCATTTGTGCCACATAAATTTTTATTGCCAAAATCATCCAGTATGTTTTAGAATAAATATATCAAAATATCCATAAAAACAAAACTGTTTAGTTCTCAGATAAATAGCCTATTTTAGAAGTTGACCTCAATCTTTTCCACTGGCCAAATAGTATTTCAATTGTTTTAAACAATTCAAATCAAATTAAATGTATCAGTTTTTATGAAAAGGTGAACATCTTTTAGCTATTTTTAGTGGAAACAGATAAGCCTATATTGCAGTGTAAATACAGTTGTCTGATTCGGCGCGTCACTGACAAATTATTTGAAAATCTTACCGTTTTTTTTCAAGCTGTATCCTTCAAATAGGCCTACAGTGGTATTTTTCATAATGTTGTGGAGATGCCTTCACACGACATCAACACCTCCGTGCAGCTGCGTTTATACAGTAAGCTATATCATTGGTCCTATTCAAACCGGACAATGGACCATTCCACCACCGAATCCAACAGTATCCGCCATAATATCGAAGTAAGTGTGCATCATTGATCATTGTTCTTGCTAAAAAAAATTCTCATAACATGAGATCTGCAGTTTAGTTTAAATATGAATTATTAAAGCACTCCTTGCTGTCATTAAAACATAGCATGCCACAGGAAAAGTGATCAAGGCCATCCACTACAAATATGTCTAAATTCATATAATTTTGGTTTAGCTTCTGCGTAATGACTTTTTGTAGGCGAATTTGAGTGTTTATGTCCATTAATGAGAGTGGAATATTTAATGTAAATGTGTATATCGTAATGAAAACAGTTTAAAATCCTTGTTTACTTCATTACTTTTCTCACTCCAGGAAAAAGAGTGCATACACACAGTCAAGAGCACCCGTAAGGTGCGCACATATTTACGTCAAGTTTATTTTTTATAAGTCCATATACGTGCGTGGAAAACCGCATACGCACATTATTTTGTGGGTACGCAACATTTATACTTGAGGCCCCTGATGCATGGATCCAATACAATGATACACATCTGATTTCTTTCTCAGCTGTTCTCGTTTACTTAAGACATAACCAACTACATTTACCAGAATGATTGTGGAGATCGATATTTTGTCATAATTGTATGTATATATGTGTCTGTTCAAACGCAAGGAGATATGAAAGAGGATTCAGTTCGGTGTTCGCGGCACAGTCTGAAAACAGCGTGCGAGTAACTAATCGAGTTCCCTTTTGCCTTTTCCTTCACTGGAATGGTTTACAATCACTTGCATGTTTAAACACGTACAAATGGTAAACTTTCACTCTATTATGGTTAAATTTTGCCATTCATCCGCGGATCACATGCGTGCCGAACCGTGGGTCTTGGTCCGTATGGATTACAGATCAACTGCGATCCGTTTAACCACTAAAAACCTAACGATAATCCAAAAGTAATCCACATGACTCCACTCCATCAAATTAATGTCTTGTGAAGTGAAAAGCTGCGTGTTTGTAAGAAACAAACAAAAATGTCACACTGTCTGAAAGCATTATTATGGATTATGGACACGTGTTTTGGCCAGAAGCAGCGGCTTAACGTCAAAACGCCTTAGATTTAGATTTGTTATTACAGACATGCAGCTTTTCGCTTCACAAGATGTTAATTGATGGACTGGAGTCATGTGGGATTATTGTGATGTTTTTATCAGCTGTTTGGACTCTCATTCTGACGGCACCCGTTCACTGCAGAGGATCCATTGGTGAGCAAGTAATATAATGCTAAATTTCACTAAAAGTGTTACGATGAAGAAACAAACTCATCTACATCTTGGATGACATAAGGGTGAGTAATATGAATAATTTAATTTTTGGGTGAGCTTTTCCTTTAAATGGTCTTTTTATTTATTTTGCTTGAGTCATGTTTGACAAGCCTTCCATGATAGGTTTCCATTGTGTACCTTCTTGAATCTTCTAATCTTCTCTTTTTAGAAGCCAATATAACCTCCATTGTGATGTAGTCTGTCCATTAGTATATAATCCAACAGCAGCATTTAATGAAATCTGTCATTTTTTTTGTCATTTGGCCATTTGTACAATTCAGCTGCAATTTTGCAGCAGAGTTTACTGAATAGGTCGAGGTTTCTTGTTCTGTGGGAATTGGTAGTGAACTGTCCTCCTTTCTCTGTAGAGCTAGAGCTAAGACGACGGGAGGATGAATACAGGTTTACAAGTAAGTGTATGTCAACACCCATAATCTGCATTATTGTCTATGTGTCATTTAAGCCATTTATTTTTCTAAACAAATCTGTTCTGTGTTGTTTTAGTTTGCTTTGATTTTTGTTGGGTGTTGTACAAATGCCAAAGAACATCAGTCAGTTTTCTTCATTTCCTTTAACCTTTGTCACTGTTGAAGTGTTATATTAATGCATATTGACAATGTAAGTGACAATGCATGTTTCAGAAACAATGCTGTTCTGTTTTACCAAATAAGCAGAGAAGGAGAGTGCCCTAGTGACCTGATTTAGCTGCTGGTTCATGTGTCGCTTTTGTCATATGCAGCTTTCAGAAGTTCTTGTCCCAGGAAATCCCTTTAGATCCTGTGAATAGAGCAGCTGTGTACACGAAGCAATTTGACCTTACCAGTTAACAGTGCACGCACGCAGCAAAGTATAAATAATCTTAAAATAACAGATAACTACAGCACCAAAATATGTACTTTCTTCTTGCTAGTTGTGAAATAAAACTAAAAGATTAGCTTTTTATTTTTATATATATATTTTTTATTTTTATGCAAGTTTGTCATTAGTTTTTTTTTAAATACATGTCTATTTAGCTTTATTTTTATTTAGTATTAGTAACATTTGTATTTCAACTGTTTTTGTTAGTCATTTGCAAAAGCAACACATTTGACTGTTAAAGTTTTTTACCAATTATATTTTAATTGATTTTAGCTTTATTTCAATTAATGATTTGCTTAATATGTTTAGCTTTTTTTAACAAATTGACTATTAAAGAAATGTTCGGTTCTAATGTCTAATTAATACTAATCTGATTCGACGTCGTATATGCTGTCATTTACAACAAATAATAATTTCAGCTCATCCCTCAGTTTGATTGAAAAAAATTGGCTATTAATTTTGCCTGTGCAAATTTATATTGAATTTATCTTAAATATTATACCTTTGTATCGTAAAGATGGTTTAACAAACATGTTGAGCTTTGAATGTTTTGATTCAAACTGTTTTTGAATGTCTTGCCTTATAGACTGTCACAGTAAGTGCATTAAAGGCAGGGTATGTGATTTTTCAAAAACACTTTAGAAAACTGATTCGGGCCGAATAGCAAAACAAACTTGTAGCCAATCAGCAATAAGGGGCGTGTCTACTCGTGATGTGGAGGAGAGAGCTTTCAGTGCATGGGACGGACATTAACATAATGAGTGAGAAGTTTATATCTGTGGAACATTCATTTTACAGGTCTTATGTAAACTGGACTAATTATGTAAGACATAAAACATGTTTGTTAAGGTGAGATTTTCAAAGCACTGAATTATTATATACATAATGAAAATTCCCTGAAAGTTAGAAGTCATTTCTGAATGCCCTAAGCTCCAAAAAGTAATCATTTTAGTTTTTTATGTTTATGTTTTGTTTTGTTTTTGCTTTTGTTATGTAATTTGTCCAGAGCTGCTGCAGATCGCAGGGATCAGTCCTCATGGAAACGCTCTGGGCGCCTCCTTGCAGCAGCAGCTGAACCAGCAGGCGCCTCCAGAGAAGAGAGGAGGAGAAGTACTGGACTCCACAAACGCTGACATCAAACTAGAGAAGAGCAACATAGTGCTGCTGGGCCCCACCGGCTCAGGTGAGACAGGAACACACTTTCAGTGTTGTGTACAATTTGACAGTTGTTCAAAAGCTTGGGGGCAGTAAGATCTTTTAAAAACAGTTAGTACTTTTATTCAGCAAGGATGCATTAAATTGATCAAAAGTGACAGTAAAGACATGTAGAAGGTAACAAAAGATTTCTATTTCAAATAAATGTTGTTTTGAACTTTCTATTCATCAAAGAATGCTGGAAAAAATGTATCACCATTTCCACAAATATATTGCAGCAGAACTGTTTTTAACATTGATAATAAGAAATGTTTCTTGAGCAGCATATCGGAGTGATTTCTGAAGGATCATGTGACACTGAAGACTGGAGTTATGATGCTGAAGATTCAGCTTCACAGTTATTTTTTGTATTGTAACAGTATTTCACAATATCACTGTTTTACTGTAGTTTGATCAAATAAAAACAGCTTTGGTAAGCCTAAGAGGCTTCTTTAAAAAAACATTTTAAAAAAATCGTACCGACCCCAGACTTTTGAATGGTAATGTATTGAATAAAAGCAGCCTAAAAATTATGTGTGCTAATATGAACAACTAGAAACCTAACTAATCTGAACTACAGGGAAAACACTTCTGGCCCAAACGCTGGCCAAATGCCTGGATGTTCCCTTTGCGATCTGTGACTGCACCACCCTCACTCAGGCAGGATACGTGGGAGAGGACATAGAGTCAGTCATCGCAAAGCTACTGCAGGACGCCAACTATGTGATTGAGAAAGCTCAACAAGGTAACACTTCCTGTGACATTTAACCACAGACCACGTAGTCCAGGAGTTTGGTCAATTAAACTTTGATTTGGATGTTGAAATTGTTTCAGGTATCGTGTTTTTGGACGAAGTAGACAAGATAGGTAGCGTTCCTGGGATCCATCAGCTAAGGGATGTGGGAGGAGAGGGAGTGCAGCAGGTTGGTCATTACAAATGAACCAGATTCCATGTCCTAGGTCACACACTTCAGATATGTCACTGATATTCAGCTGAACTTTACCCTAAATAACAAGAATGCTCACATGGCTGTTAAAGATTAATAGAAACTTGGAATCTGTATTTCTGTACTTCTTTAATCACTAACAATAACTTTTGATTGACTCATTTCTGCAAAATGCTACGAAAACCTGTTTCCGCTACAGAATAAAAATTTTTTTATAAATAAATTCAGATTTTTTTTGTCACACAATTCAGATTTTTTTTCTCACAATTGCAAATTTCCATCTCACAATTCAGACTTTATTTCCCTCAGAATTCTGAGTTCACGTCTTGCAATACATTTTTTTTGTTTCTGCCACGAAATAAAAAGGTAATTGCGACTTTTTATCTCACAATTTATATATATATATAATTTTTTTTTAGGTTTTTGTATTCTGTGGCTGAAACAAGCTTCACTAAAATGCAGCTTCTAAAATATTTTTGTCAAAATAACGATTTGTGACTTCAGAAAACAGATTTGAGTCATTCCTAAAAATATGATGTATTTACTGCAAGATTTTAAAAAATAAACCAATTTTGTGGTGATGACTGACATGTTTCATTGTTTTTGATAGGGTTTACTGAAGCTACTGGAAGGCACTATTGTTAATGTTCCTGAGAAGAACACGAGGAAACTGAGAGGTGAAACTGTCCAAGTTGACACCACCAACATCCTGTTTGTAGCATCTGGAGCGTTTAATGGCCTTGATCGTATCATCAGCAGGAGAAAGAATGAGAAGGCGAGTAATAACAGGATGTTGACGCATAACAACAAGGTTTTATTCACACGATGCGAGATCTTCTTGGTTAATAAATTTTGGTGAAAAAACTGTCTAGGAAGATTTAGATTTTTTGGAAAATTCAAAATGGCAGGAAAAGTTTCATGACTGAAAATGATGTTTATATAATCGAACTGTTGCCTTCATATTCCATATGTAGTACCTTGGGTTTGGAACACCGTCTAATATGGGGAAAGGTCGACGGGTGGCGGCAGCGGCTGACCTGGCTAACACCACAGGTGGAGAGGTGGCCGCGGTGGCCGAGATCGAGGAGAAGGACCGGCTTCTGAAACACGTGGAGGCCAGAGACCTCATTGAGTTCGGCATGATTCCTGAGTTTGTGGGCCGTCTTCCTGTTGTGGTTCCACTGCACAGTCTTGATGAGGAGACACTGGTGCGGATCCTCACAGAGCCACGCAATGCTGTTGTGCCTCAGTATCAGACCCTCTTCAGCATGGACAAGGTTGGTGCCTAATATACAAACAGCAAAAAGAGTCCTGTGCCTTTCTGTGTAGTCATAAGTATTTCCTGGGTGCAGGGTTATTATTGTTAACTAAAATAAAAACTACACTAAAACCATGAAGAAAAATATTTTCGGTACTGGAAATAAAATAGGTTAAAAAATGAATCTTATTTCAGCTAGTTGCCAAGGCATCATTTCTCATTTACTTTTAGTGTAAGAAGTACTAAAATAACTGAAAAAAAAAAATCTATATAGACACATTTTAAAAAACAAAAGCTAGTAAAAATGACAAAAACATACAAAAAAAATTACTAAAACTTTAAAATTGAAATGGAAAATAAAATAAAAACTAATAATAACTGCAAAAATATATCAGTGATACTAAATCAACAATGTCTGGGTGCATAGATGCAATTCACGTTGTAGAAAACAAAAGGGAATCCACACACCAAGCAAGTTCAAAGTCCAAGATCTATTGAGAAACTGAAAAAAAAACTAATACACAAACAGACATTTAATAAGCTAATTAAAATTAAAACCCTAAAATAACATGATAAAATGTCAATTAAAAATAATAACAAATATAAATAAAATAAACCCTTTGCCATTTTTGAATGTTTTATTTCCTTTTAAACTCCCCCCCCCCACCCCCCTTATCGCTGTTGTTATTTTTCAATGTTTAAATTAATATTACATTTATATACATTTTTATTTGATTATTAAGCAGATGGTTTATAGTGCTTTTAATTCAGTGAATATATACATATAGTACAGTGGTTCTCAAACTTTTTACACCAAGTACCACCTCAGAAAATATTTGGCTCTCCAAGTACCACCATAATGACCAACATTAAAATACAGTAGCGTAGTAGGCCTAATTATTCAGCTACAGCTATGCACAGTTCAAAAACGAGGCAGTTTTATTCCTGATAAGAATATTTATTATTATCGGCCACTTTAAACATTGTAAATACAGTTTGAACATTAACACTGCACTGTGCTTACATACAGGTAAATAAACAACTTAAATGATTACATTAAAATGTATTGTACCTAAAAGTTAAATAAAAACTGTACTGTACTTAATTGTAAAGTAAAAAATGTACAGTACTTGATCAAAAAAATTTATACGGGCAAAAAAAGTGTTTTAACATTAATTTATATTTAATTCAGTGATTCCTTCTGCGTAACACTAGAGGGAGCCCACACTTTGAGAGTCAGTGATATAAAATAATGTAATGTGGAACAAATTAAAAGTGAATCATGAAGTGTTTCTGAATGTCTTTGTTTTGTATTAGTGTGATCTCAACATGACACCTGATGCCCTGAGAGTGATTGCCAGACTGGCTCTGGAGCGTAAAACCGGAGCACGTGGGCTTAGATCCATAATGGTAAGAGAATGCTGTTTTGTTGTTTGTTTTGTGACGTTTTCACTTCCTCAAAGGCGTGCTGGTATAATGACGTGTGATCTTGTGAGGTCATAAGCTGCCACTATTTCCCAACAGGAAAAACTGCTGCTAGATCCCATGTTTGAGGTGCCACATTCAGATATTGTGGCCGTGGAAGTGAACAAGGAAGTAGTTGAAGGAAAAGCACAACCTCAGTACATAAGGTGAGAGCTGACATGACCTTGTTTGTTATTTTGTCATCTTGTGTGTCTGCAGTAAAGTTTAAAGTCTCTTTTGACACACATGGAACTATGGACTCTTTTTATGCCTCAAGTTCTAATTTTTTTTAAGAACAAATGTGCTGAGAGTGGGAAATTTAAGGAAAAATAAAAAGTTAAAATATAAGTATGTCTGTCATGCATTTGAAGAATTTATTTCAAAGATACCTTCATCTTTTTATTTGTTTATATATTTATTTGAACTATAATGCACATTGCAATGCAACAATTTTTATCAAAAATAATTCAAAAAAAATATATATATAATATTTGTAGTAATACTTATAATTAAATATTATTCGAAAGAAGAAAAAAAATATTTATCTGCTCAGTATCATTTTTCAAAATATAAACGAATAATGTTTCCTCATTCTGGGTTCAATAAAAAAAATGATTAAACTGTTATTATATACATACTGATAACCTAGAAAGTGTTCTCTAAGTAAACCAGCACACATTGCTGTCACTTTGAATGTACTGCCTCGTTTGATTCATGGCACTTTGTGGTCATTTTAATTAGTCTCATTGACTGTATTGCTGTTCTTTCCACTCAGAGCTGCAGCTAAAGACTCTTCTGAGGAGGAGTACGACTCTGGAATCGAAGAGGAAAACTGGACAAGACAGGCTGATGCCGCCAAGAACTAAAAACTACAAACCCGGTTTATAGTCAAGACTTTTCTTTAGTTGATTGTTTGCCTCCTTGGTTCTCCTAAGGGTCCATTTCTCACTGTATGCTTGTGATGACTTGTTACTCACTTTGGAAATTCTTATTCCTCGAAAATATCCCAAATCTACTCTCACTTAGAGAAATTAGTTTAAAGTCAAACAAATTCTCCCCTGACACTTTCCTCATAAAGAGATTGTTAACAGTATGTGAAATGTAAAGAGAATTTTATTTTGTTCTTATTAACTTGATCTTGTAAGTGATTTTATGAACCGTTTGATTGGACACCAAACAGAGTGAAGAGGGCTTGTACCAATGTATGTTTGACTTCAGATTCCCTATGTCTCTCTTTGCCCTGCTTGGAATAAAATTACACATTTGTGTCACACTGGTCATGCACTGATTGTATTGATATAAGTAGAGTTCCTTATAAAGCTATATCGGATCACTTTAATCAGATATCCCAATATGCCCATGGTAAATCAGTTTTTGTAGCTGACACACTTGTATGATAATTAGAAACCCATCTGAATATGTATTTTATTAAGGTCTGTTTAATTTAATTAGGTCTCTGAATGAGCTGGCTTGTTTTTTTCCCCCCATTAATCAATGCTATGGGATTTTTACGTCAGTTTTGCTAGTACACTCAAGCTGCTATTTGCATATGATAAGGGTCAAGAAAATCAGTAACTGGCTGGAATTGTATTGAATTGTATCAATGTGTTGTCATGATTTCTGTTGTTCTTCACAAAGTGGCCCAGTGATGAACGATTTATTTGTATTGGCCAGATTAAAACAAATTGGACACAAGTAACTTTGGTCTCTTTGAGAAAGTTGTGCATCAGTAAGTGATCTCTGCTAAATTAATTTTAAATCGCTGCACAGAAATAGATTGTTTTTTCTTTTGAATTGCGTTGTTTGTTACAGAATATACTCGTGCAAAGTGGGAAGGGGTTACTTTTTTTGTATAGAAAGAGTAGAAGCCATGTATGTTTTTGATCCCCACCCTTCAAGTCGAAGCATATATGTACAAAACAAATGTATGTAGGAATAAAATGTAAATATTCTCACTGAGCAATGCAGGTCTTTGTTGTATTTTAAGGAACACTGCAATGACAATTAGAGAAAGATCATGCTGTTTCAAACCTGTTTAACTTTCCCCCATTGAACACAAAAGCAGATGACAGCCTCAGTCATCATTCACTTTGACAGCATGGAAAGAAGTAATAAAAGTGAATGGTGATGGATGCTTTCATTCTGTCTAACGTCTCATTTTGTGTTCCACGGAAGAAAGTTATAACATAAAGGTGAGTAAATGATGCCAAAGTTGTCATTTGAAGGTAAACTGTTTTAAATACCAAATGTTTCCTTAATTAGTAATATAAGTCCATAACATATAATGAATATTGAAGACACTAACAAATGTTTCATTCAATAGATAAAGTAAGTATATGTGTGTGTGGGTGTGTATGGAATAGAGAAGAACAGAAGCTTTTATTGCTTTATATTTTTTATTAATATATTTAGAAATATTTAAAATTTTATTGTATTTTTATTGTCTCTCATGCTCGCCAAGGCTGCATTCTTTAATAAAAATCCAGTAAAGAGTATAATGTGGAAAAAAATATTACAATTTAAAATAACTTGTGTTCTATTTGAATATATTTTAAAATGTAATTTATTCCCGTGATGGCAAAGCTAAATTTTCAGCATCATGACTCGAGTTTTCAGTGTCAAATGTCACTTTTTTTTCCTTTTTTTTTTTTATCAATGCGCTGCTTAATATTTTTTTGGAAGACATACATTCATTTCAGAATTCTTTGACAAATAGAAAGGAAAACAAACAGATGTTCCTAAAGAGGGACATAACTGTCCAAAATATATATTAAATCCTATATTATATATATATAATCTATCTATCTATCTGTCTATCTATCTCTGTCTGTGTCTGTCTCTGTCTGTCTATCTATCTATCTGTCTGTCTCTATCTATCTATCTGTCTGTCTCTATCTATCTATCTGTCTGTCTCTATCTATCTATCTGTCTGTCTCTATCTATCTATCTGTCTGTCTCTATCTATCTATCT